ACTCTAGGTGCTCCCACTCTGCCCAGCACACCTCCTCAGCACTCTAGGTGCTCCCACTCTGCCCAGCACACCTCCTCAGCACTCTAGGTGCCCCCACTCTGCCCAGCACACCTCCTCAGCACACTAGGTGCTCCCACTCTGCCCAGCACACCCCCTCAGCACTCTAGGTGCTCCCACTCTGCCCAGCACACTAGGTGCCCCCCAGCATTCCTACAGAGGTTGGCACCGTGTAAGCAAAGGCGTCAGTGCCACACGGACGGCGTCAGTGCCAGCCAGACTTGGTCGTCGCTAGCTAACCTGTGGTCACATACCAACGACTAGCGGCTGCACGCCTGACGAAATAATTCAGTTTATTGTCGTGTATTTAGGCTTTATTTTGTGATAATTGTGTGAAACGGGTTGCGGCGTGAAATTACTTTTTTGCAGAAAATCAGAGTTTTGCATACATTATCACGGTGTGAATTGTTCTAGCCCAAGTTTCGCATTGTTTGGTTCCGAGACCGAAAATCGTGTACGCAAATTGTTGTTTCTTTGAGTTCTGCCTCTATTACCTTAACATTTGCGAAGTGATGAAAGTGTCATTCTTCAATAAAATACTACTGTTTATCGCGAATGCATTCATGACTAATATCTTCAACTCTGCTCGAAAGACCAATTTCTTTCTTCTGAATTTTCGCACGTTGACATTTAGCTTCCCAAATAAATCATCACTTTTATGACAAAATTTGCATGTTGAAAGCAGTTTCTCCTGTAGGATGAAGTTCCACAGCTTTTGAATGCGTGTAATAATTGTTTTTGGCATTACTTGTATAGTGTATCAGTAAGCAATTGTTTGTTCAATAACGTCGTTACGAATCGGTAAATATATGTCTAGTATTGTCTAATTTTTATGATACTGATAGGTTTTGATTTTATCTCAGGGAGATTTTGCTTTTATCTCAGGGTTGTTTCTCCTCTCTAGTTTTCACGTTAGGTTTGTTCCGTTGATCTCGACGAAATTGATACTGATGTTCATTTCCCTGCAGTCGTTTAGGTTGTAAATTGTAGCCCTTCACCATGGAGAAAATGTATAAAGATATTCTGATTGTTCGATGCCGCCCTTCAAGTGAGTTGAGTGACCATAGCTAGTTTGTGTATTACAAATAAATAAATTACAAAAATTAATACAAATAAATAATTAAATAAATTATTGGTGTAAATAAACTCTTTCGTTTCCTATGTTGGCTTTTCTATTTTTACATCTATTTTAGTATTTTCTCTTTGTTCAAACTATTTATTTCAACCGATGTTATTATTCTTCTTGTATTTGTAACCCTGATTTCAGTCGACGAAAGTTATTCAGTCAAATTATTTGCATTTACCGATATTAGAATGTTTTCATTTGAGAATGGTTTCATTGAATTCCGCTCCTTGATTATATAGGTACATAACTCGTGTTAGTCCTTCACCCTATAATTCACACATAATTGGGAAAACTCTCGATTTCAGGAAAATTCATGACCTAACATCCTGAAACATATGATAATTTTGACCGTGACTTAATTTATTTATATATCATCTGAGAGGTTATTCTTATTCGTAAATACTGCGTTCGAGAATGTTATTGCATATTATTTTTTCTCGCTTGCGCTCGCTGTTTTTCAGTAATGCTAACATTTCCCAACATTATCGGCTACAGCTCGTTCGTTATACTGCTTGATTATCTTACAAATTGGGCTGATTAATCATTGTCTCCAATAGCCGCTTATAATAAATGCGTAACCAATCCTCATGCTCTAAATTATGCTACTCCATGATTTTTTCATATTATTTTAATTGGACTGCATTGGTTTACATTATTTTATAATAGATGATCGGTGTAAATACTTGGCAATCTTCAACTAGAAATTACATCTTCATTTGAATCGGTACTTTCTTCGTTATTCTGCCAAGAATTTAACTGGCCAGTAATGACCAGGTATGCGTTAGTTGACGATCGAGCTTCAATTGTTCGCTCTGATGCCTCACCATTATTAGTAACTAATTCTAATTATAATATTAATTTCATTGTTTACGATTGATTTTGCCCAGAAAAATTATATGACTGATTACCTACATTAAACTATTGAAATTTGTTACTTGTTGCTAACTAGACGTGTTACCATGTGTGTTGAGTAGGCAGGGACAGCAGTGCGGATCGGCAGCGCAGTGTAACAGGCAGCCCACAAAACGGATTCTACTCTGGACTCAACGGCCTGTCAAAAACTGCAAGCAACAAAATCAACGACACATTTCCCAAGGCTTACAACCACGTTTCCCGATTGGACGCTGGGACTGTCAATGATGGTCATAAGTCCTCACATCGAAATTTGAGCAACGACAGCTCATCGTCAAATCAACAAACCTACAATAACACCAGCCGGCTTGTTGTTTCGAACGGGTTTAGTAACGGTCATGATGTAGCGACCATTCGCAACAGCAGACTTGACCAGAATTGTAACCTGGTGCCTCGTAAAAAATCGGCTCCTGGCATTGCCATCACTGCCGGGGGCTTCCACTTTGACGGTCACGTTCCACGAGACGATTATCTCCCGCAGTATTTGAAGCTCCTGCAGTGTAATAACGCCCGTTCCAACGAAACTGTTGATGCCATCAAATCTGTACCAGTGAGTCCTTTTGCTGCTCGTAGATGGACTAGCATTCAAAGCGGACAGCCGCCTCCCAATAATCTTAATTTGCGACGTGGCCGTGCGTCTGTGACAGTCCTTACCGACGAGTCGCCGCGTTCCAGCGCCGACAGATGCCTCTGGTCACCCAGTGACGACAAGTTCCTCAAACATCCTCTTTCGAAAATATCGGTCATCAACGCCGGGCTATCACTTGCCGAGCACCCTGATCCCAGTTCATCCCTCATCAACTCGGCAGCTGCCGCTGGCTCCGCGGCTGGTTTTGCTGCTGCTTCAGCCGCTCTTAACACTTCGTCTGTAACTGCTTCACCTTTCGATCACTGGTCACACGTGCCCCGTTCCCCTGTCGCCGAGCGGCGCCGGTCCAAAATAGGCAACAAAAACTCCAGAAAATCGGGAGCGGGCGTTACCGCTACCGGTTCCAGTCCTTTGTTTTCAAACGGCGCCATGAGCGGCACCGAGAAAGCCAAATCCGAAGTGAGCGTCAGGGACCTCACGATCATGCTGCAGAGCGTGAAACCCGACGTAGGGCCGTTACCAGGTCACGAGATGGACCGAACTCCTCGCTACCTTGCCGGTGTCTGCATGGACGAGTGCTACCCGGGCCTTTATATAGGCGACATGTGAGTACCCCTTGATAAAATGCATTGAATGATCTATATTTTTCATTACTGAACCTGGAAATGATAATCCAATATTTATTTATTATGTATAATTTCTATCTGGCGAGATAATGACTACCTACTCAATTTCATATTTTATAGTTATTCTCGACTCAAGAGCGTGCATTTCTCGTTAATTTCCAGAGGAGCAGCAAAAGACCGCGCGTATTTACAAAGAGTGGGCATAACCCACGTGCTCAACACGGCTGAGGGCAAGAAGATGTGCACCGTGGACACCAACGCCGAGTATTATAAAGAAGTCAACATCAAGTACCTGGGCCTGGAACTGCTCGACATCCCCTCTGCCAACATCTCGCAGTTCTTCGAGCAGGGCGCTCAGTTCATCGATGACTGCCTCAGTAGTGGAGGTGAGGCTATCAATTGAAGTGATAGCAGTAGAGTTTAAAATATGTTAGCTTGAAGAATTGTTCTTTAATGAAGTACTTTTGATAGTGTTTAGGTCTAATCCTGCATTTAGAATACAGTGAAGGAAATGAAATTAGACACGGCAAAGTCGTGCGCGCTTTTGTCAGCCTGGTAAAATTTACTGTGTAACTCACATTTGCTATGCGCCTTGTTAGTTGATCTCGACCTTAGATGTAGAAGATGGAATATATATTTTGCTATATAATAATACATAAGGGTGGTGCAATGCTCTAGCTAAAATGTGGACCAACGACAAAATTTTTTTTTCACTGATGCAGGCTCAGAGCTGACGCACCTATTGACTCGCTTTGCTCAATCAATATCTGTTAATCGTGTAAATACTACTAACTTTAGAATGTTTGTTGATGGCTACAGGCAAAGTGCTGGTGCACTGCTTCATGGGCATCAGTCGCTCCTCGACAATAGCGGCGGCGTTTCTGATGCTGAGGCGCAACATGGGCGTCATGGAGGCACTCACGACACTCAGACGTCGCCGCTCCATCTACCCCAACGATGGTTTCCTTCACCAACTCGTGCAGCTCGACAGCAGACTTGCCAAACAAAGAAAGGCTACGCCAAAGCCGTGAAAACTTGACAAGTCATTGTTAATTTTCGCAACGCAATAGCACACTGCCAAAACGCAGTAAAATGTCGTTCAAATTTAACGAAACGTGCAACTTTTGATTGTTTATTTTTATGTGAAATATGAATGGCGCCAGGGACCCGATAAGTTCTTGAGACTGAACATAAGATTTCCTTGAAGCCTTGAGCAATAAAAACGACAAAAACTATACAGCATCAAGTTCTTATTTGAACGTCAAATGCCCTAGAGACTAAGTAACCTCACCAAAGCCTTAAAAGTGTGACTAGTTCTTAGTACTAAGGTTTGTACGCATCCGCAAGCGACCTATTTATTAATTCGTCATTTTTATGCTCTTTGCTTGTTAATTAAGCTTTGCGGGAATTATACATTCGCGTTCTTATCTTTAGGTATGAGTTGTGCCATTTCTAGAAGATAAAATGTATTGCAGACCGTATAGAGCGTTGCTTTTGTAGGAATGCTTACAGTCGAAGAATGCAAATAGACGTTGTTGCTGAATACTGTGTCTGTGGTGAACTGGTCTAAAGGTTCAATATTGATATTCAAATTATAAGCGACAGAAATTCAATATTTTCTCGTGTTTTTTGTCTGGCTATTTTGTTCCGTGTATTTGTTTCTCTTATTCTCTTACTTTATATTATATATCAAGTATTCTCGGTATTTGGTGAAAGTGTGACTGCAATGCTGCCTAATGTCCAAGTTTTGAAGCAGTAGTGGTGCAGCAGTGAGCCGAAATCTATAACAGAACTGGGGTAAAGACTGGAATCTATTAATCTCTGGGAATAGGTTTTCAAGTTACTACAATAAAGTTAAAAGTTAAATAAAATAAAGTAAAAACTTTGTACTCAGCAGATTTTACCTTATTAGCTAAATTTAATCGTAATTTGTACGGTTTCGATCCCGGTTGAGTGGAGATTCCTTGCACTCGATGATGCATGGGATGCGCAGCGATGCATTGAATTACATCAGTACAATTTAATATATACGTGGTTCCATCAATAGGTCAATTAGATGAACCAAGAACACCTGCGATTTTCATGTAACAGCCTTGAATATTTCAAGGAGGTTGAGATGTTGAAACTTTGATGCGTTCTTGCTGAGCATGAACTTGATGTTCACTTCGAGGTCCTTATTTCGGCCGTTGATCTCCGCTGTTAAATGTTACAGTACCCGAGTTCGTTATCACTCTGTAGTGTGTTGGTATTTGAATTTCAATCCTAATCATGAATGCGATAATTTGCCCAACTTTTATCGGGTATACCTGGTGTAGTGAACCGAGCACTGATATGTTTTGAACAATTAGGCATGCACGCTTAGAATACGGTTGATTACACTTTACATTTGTCACATCTGGTGCTGACATGTATGGACTATGTCATTTTAATCATCACGTCTCCCCCTTTATAACTTTTATTGTAAGAAATGTGTGCGTGTTTTTTTTCTGTTTCGCGGAAGCCTCTGATGCACGCATGTTATTCGTCGCAATTTTAATTCAAGTTCTAGTCGCGAAGTTTGTTCAAGAGATATAAGAGATTTAGAATATTTTACTTCCCATTGTTTGCGGAAATGAGCCCGCCGGGTGCTGAAATTATTTTGATGACGGTACGAGTTTTTCAGAGTCAACATCTAATGAATTTCTCTGAAAGGCCGTTCTGAAGGTACCGTTGATTTTATACAACTTTTCTGCAATAGCTTCATGATGATGAACGATGAAATTTGTGGTACTCGTTGTAGCTGGTTAAGACAAAACACCTGCAATCTTAGAACGAGGAACATCAATCGGGCAAAATTTGTATTTGGACTTCGTCTTATGTGCCCTGCAAGCGGCGCTCACGAACTTTCTCTTTATTGCTGCAGTAGCATTAATATTTCTGCCAGCAATTATCGCTGTCCTATGCAATGATTTATGATTTAGTATATGAAGACTGCTTATTGTTAATGGAACCAAAATAATAATTCGGTACCGTTTTGTTATTGCAGTTAACAGTTCGTTATCTACGCTTTTATTCTAAGGTAGCCTCGTTTTATTCTCAAAATTTTTATAGAGTATTTATGCTTCCAGCTTAATTTTTAACCTTAATAAAGTTTTTATGTAATTTTTTAATTGATAATTCAAGCGGGAACTTGTATTTGGGTACTAATCCTACTTGAGGAATTTCTGCTCTTGTAGAGTAGGTAAATATTTTATATTCAGCTTTAGTGTGTCGCAGTGATAATTTATGCTCGTGTGTCTTTGTTTAAACAATTAATATTTAGTCGATGTTGAGTCCATCTGTGCCCCAGACGTGTGTGTTTTCTGGTCTGTTAATGAAAATAGCTCTAAGCAAACTTTAGAAGCTTGTAACAGCTTCTTATTCAACCTGTTACGTTATATTGTTCTGGTTTAAATTACCGCTGCACCTAAACGGTCTTCAGTAGGTAACAATTCAGGGAAGAACGTATTTGTTTTACCCTATTTACAGTATCTTAAACTTGCACGACCATTTCTTACCAGGGGCTATCAATCGATGCAATAATTCTCTGCTCTTTTATCATGTATTATGCAGTGCAATCCTAAGCCAATGCAATCCTGCCCCCAGGATGGGAGTTGATATGTGTTTGATTTGTCTCGACCACATTTCCTTGCTGCTGATATCATGTAGTAGGCTTAGTGATGCTGCTATTATGTTTACGATCTACTATTCCAACAGAGATATATTTTTTCGCCTTGTATCAATATATACCCTCACCCTGACGTCCTGCTAGTTCATTGCCCCTCGTTGTTCATCGTCTCCTATTGTAACTTATATTGTGATGTTCCTAAGTTTAGAAGACAGAAATCTCGAAATTCGGACCTGAATTTACTGCCTATCATTGCCGTTTTAGTGAATTCCTCTCATGGCGAGGTTTGTAAAAATCCCTATATATGACTACACTTTTACACAAACGAACATTAGTTTAATGTAATTATTACGATAAACATTATTATAATATAAAATTATTACGATAAACGTGACCTAGATCGTGTGCTGTTGGCGTTGGGCATTAATGAAATGAGGCGTTGGGGGGCCACGAAAAATATTAGAGCTTAAATTGATTGCGTACTTGCAATAGACCAGAGGTAATCGATTCCTAATTAAACAAATGGAAACTTGGTAAATTCCAGAAATTTTGACAAATTCTAGACAGATTTCGACTTATTTAATTAATGATGATCATGCATAAAAAGAATATGAAACTATTGGAATTGGATTGCTTAACGAATTGCTATTTTATTTAACCCTTCAAACGCAGTGCGTGTACCTGAGTGGAGAGATGCGCATGTTATCAGTTGTGAGTTAGGCATGATTTCCATAACCATGTGATGAATGAAAAATTTTCAAAATAACGAAAAGTTCAAATATACTAAGGTTTCATGGTATATATAGACGTTTACTTTTTATTATTTTTCGTCACTTGTCTTACTCAACCCTTGACTCTTTATTTCTCTTCTACTGCTTCCATATTCTCATTTTCTTCACCTTCAATTCTTGACTATTTCTCCTAAGTTTCTTTTTAATTTTACTCGTGCTTCCCCACGTGTTTAATAATTCCCTTTGTTGACGTGGCCCTGTCTCCCGCCATCTTCCCCAGAGGGGCGCTTGCGGCTGCCAAAAATGTTCATTGCCGCTGATTGCTCGGGTATTCTGGTAATGTGATACTTTTTGCCAGCAAATTTGTTCGTCAATCGGCAATTTATCGTGATCCCGGCAACTGCATGAGTCTGTCATTGTTTTCATCATTTTTTTCTATTTTCAGTTTGCGCACACGTTTTTGGTTACCTGTGCTAATTTTTTCAGCTAATTTTTGATCGCGATTTAATGCTGAAAGTTATGTAGAGTAAGTATATGAAATGAAGAAAAAGCGAAAAATTATTTACCCTTACGAATATATCACACTTTCCCTTGCACTCGTTTTCAATTCGGAAAAGTGTCGGAAACATTCTTTAGAGACGTTAGATATTTTATCTATGACCCCTTGAGATTTAGTAACGATTCAATGACTAGTTGTGGAACCGAAAACTTCGTTGCAATCCTCAGCGCCGGCTATCAAGTGAACGCAGCTTCGCGCTCGGTAACTTAATCTGAGGAAGTTGTCAGCGAGCCTAATGCTAAGTACTTAGATCACGTTGCGCACTCGCGAATCCTTCAGTTGTTTGAAATGAAACCTGTAAAGGGTTCAGTCAGAACGGCGCACTGTGACAATGTTACGGTTCCACATTTCTTACATTTTGAATACACCAAATAATATCACCATAAAGAGGTATAAAGATGTAAAGTAATGTATTAACAAACGTTTATTCTTCCTGTAGTGAGGCATTGTGCCGTAGTGACTTGCAGACCCACGCACCGACACATTCTTGCCGCGTCAAGACGACTGCTTGCAGCCACACGTTTTATTTATCCAACATTTTCAGCTGCAGTATTGGATCTTTCATAGCTAAATAGCTGAAGCGCTAGTAAACATGTGGCCACTAAACTAACTAACTAACTTGGATCTTTCAATGCGTTTATTACTTTATTTGTCAATGCTTATCATGAGATCTTGCTTTAATATTAGCAGATTGTGAGTAGCTGCCGATTCTGTGAATGCAATGCGGACGAGTTATGAAAAGGGCTCAGGTTATAATTCATATTCTTTTTTATTCTAATTAAAGTTGTACTCTACGATAGCGATACGCTTCACGATATGTACTCCAATTCTTAATTTTCGTTCATTGTTTTAAAAATTAAATTTTACGCATTAAAATAGCTTTCTGACTCGAAATTTTCTCCGACCCGCCAAAAAGTGGAACACAGACCAATGTATAGAAGTATATATGCCATTTTCCGACACAAAAAGGAACCTTTGCTATACCCTGTCATTCGGTTGAGGATTCACGGGAAAATATTACTTTTTGTTCACTTGAAGCGAACATTCTTTTAACGTAATTTTTTGTGCTCCGAGATCGACAGCTGAATAATGTTAGGTAAAAAGAGACCGATTGATGGTACGCAGGTAGTAAAACACCAAGTTCTGTGTACCCTCGATTCTCATCGTCCATTCATTTATGTTAACTTCAAAGCTTACTACGTAAGAATCAAGCTCCATGTACACACCTCGGTAGTAAGAATTTCGACGGTCTTTATAAATTTTTCTGGTATGTCAAGCATGGATCGGACCAACCGGACAAAAAATCACGCATGCAAAATCGCCTATTGTATGTACATTGTCCACCGGATGTAGCCTACATACCGGTTGTGTTCTAGATATAGAAAATTAATATTTTCAAGCGGTTTACAATAGATTAGGTTTCTATACTAATTTTTTCTTACTGTGATGAAACAAACCATGAAAATAATGAAATCATGCAGTAAGAATGCAAAAAGAAATAGAATTCAATCTTCACTACTACTGCTCAGTTGGCGTCAATTCTGCTGACATGTAACATTTGAGCGCTTACTTCAACAATGGATTTCATTTCTCCGCTGTATTTATCAAAAATTTGCACTGTATTTCTATTTTAATCTCCACCCTATTATTGCGCCATTTCCCTAATCGTTATCTGCCAAGATTTACAATCACGTTATTTTCAGAACATTCATGCCTAGCGAAGTATAAACTTCTCGAAATTATAGATATTTTTCAGTACCTGCGTTGCCTGCAGAAGAACATATTCGGTCAACTGGGATGCGGAAAGCTCAATTGATTGCCGGAAGCGTGTGCGAGAGCTGCCAAGTACTGGCGGTAAAATGTTCGCCGTCTCCTCCAACTTACCAACTATGAATAGCCTGCAGCGAGCTGTGCTGGCGACCGCGCTATGTGCATGATGAGCTTGAAGCTTCTTGCATCGCTACATTTGAAATCATTTCTGTCAGTATAAACTCGCAAAGATTTCGTCTATTCGCCTGTTTGCTTAAAATTTGAATAATATCGTTCGGGATTTGTAATCAAAACCCCTTTGTTGGCATAGGCTACTTCGTAATCGACATTATTATTCTGAATTACACCCAATGACGTGGCCAGACGTCTGAAATACCTTGATATGTCAGGATACCTTCTCCTGAAGTCGGCTTCAATTCATATGTGCACAATTTAAGCCCTTAATTGGGGAAAAAGTTGACATCGTTGCGGCTTTGTTGTGGCTCGTACAATAAATTGGTGATGCGAACTGTAACGTATAGGATTTCTTAGCTATAATCGGAAGTATCTAAAAATATAAACCAGATTTCAATGTACTGAATCATAGAACCTGCTGCTGAAGTTTTCAGTTCTATCATCAAGTGTTGAGTCATGCCGCTGTCATCCCCTTGACACGCCAATGAAACTACCTTCTAGTTGACTATTGCGCTGCCGCTGGTGTATAGGCTTATATATAGGCTGGGCCACACATGAAGTGCATCTCAACAACAGCTCTCACGATGAAAGCAGTAATAAATTTATTTTATTATGCAATGCAAGAATATTCCCTTGATTTCCATTATCGGTGGAATATTTACGCTCCTGCAGGGACGTCGCTCAAACTCTCCTTGAACGTTGAAGTCTATGTGTCAAAAATATTTTTCAAACACCTAATAAGTAATAATGCTCCGCATTGAACATTTGTGTTTACTTTTTTCAGCAAGTATCCCGTGAGAAAGTAATCGGTTGCTACAGATGACGCTCTAACTCTAAGTTGCCCTTATAGTAACTTACCAATTGCAGTTATAATAACTGCGAGAGGAATTGCATAGAAAAAACACCAAAGTTGACTTAGCTATCTCAAATGTAGCTGCATGGTATTTGATAAATATTATCTATGGCGCTATTTTCAATCTTAGTCCAGAAGTTTATCGACTTTAATCCATTACCGGTTATATGGATATATTAAGGATTCTCATCGCGTCTTTGCTTATCAACTTCTTAACCTAGTGGGGACGCACCCCATCACTCAAGATTAGGTTTGAATTTTTTTATATTTTTTTCTGAATTCTAATGAAATAACCTCTTAATAGCGTAACAATAACATCATTGAAGAACTTACAAATTATCATTCCCGTTTCAATTCGGAATTAACCTAACGTCCTAACCCATTTTTTGCCTAATTTCTTTAATGGGAACAGTCGTCAAGTTTTCGCTTTACGGCCGAGCTGTTATGTATTTGAATAAAGAAACGTTAACGGATCAAGTGTGCAATGTGAGCTTCCGACCGAGTCCCATAAAACTAGCTTGATAGCCAGTATATACTGACACGCTTCGTAGAGCGCTTCTGCAGAGATCTCGTTGCGCTTGAGGAACACCTATATATACTGTAGGAAAACTTCTGATTCGTGTCAGATAATGATTCCGAAGGATCACAGGAAGTAAAGCGATGTTTTTTTATTCATCTTCATTTCATGATATCAAAATGTTATAGATAGGTCGGAGACATTTCGAGGCAAGCTGTATGAAGCAAATCTCGCTGCCAACTAAACCTTGCCCTCAAGAAACCAACCTCAGCAGGTTTGAGTCGAGAGAAGTTCGAAGGCAGGCATACTGGGTGAGAAATAAAGAGCGCTTCATCATTAGTGTGTGGATATATTCAATTATTGTACAGCATTATTATCAACTTGGTAATAAATTCCCTCAAAAAGGACTTAATTTTTTTATTGAAATTAGGTGGACTATCGAGATTTCTGATTTCCTAACTTCCAGGTAACTTTTTTTCTTACGACTAGTCGCACATACTATGATAATCTTATGTCAAGTCAGGTGGTATCGGAATTTACAATGTTAACGTTCAAGATTGGTTTCTAAGTGCTTATAGAATTAACATATAGTGAAACTCAAATAATCGTCCCAATGGATACTTCCAAAATACTCAAATAATGAGTGTTTAAGCTTTTAAAATTTAATTTTGCGAACATAAGCATTTGAGAAAATTGACATTATTGATATTCAGTCTGGAAAACGGCCATTTAATTGGAAAGATGTGAAATAGAAGCGAAAAAATACGAGTGCCATGCAACTAAAATGTGAGGAACCGAACGGTCTGCACAACAAATAATCACCTCTTTATAATATAAATGAAATAATTGGGAGATAAGTTAGTAGCGACGTGAACTGTAATGATACCAGAAATGTAAAAAAAAACCGCATGACCGGTCGGAGAATATGTCAACACTTCACAAGCATGTTGTCGTTAACGCCTTTCCTTCCACTAATAAACGAAGAAAGTCAGCCACAATGATCTTGAGTACTAATTAAAATGCTATTGTAATAAAATATTGAATACGAACTAGGGAGATATTGTTTTAGAACTACATATATGAAGGACTGAAAGTATTCACTGGGATCCTTGCGCTAGAAGTGCCGGCTTACTTACTAATCCACTCTGGCTTGCGGAAACTGGAGTTCAAAAGTTTGAAATGCACTCAAATTGATGAGCGCATCCTGCCAAGTGCGGCGCTGAGTGTGGTTTAAAACTTTTAAATCGACATCGAAGTGATTAAAATTCGGAAATTCGAGTTGTTCAATTCAAAATACTTTGTTTTATAGAATTGTTAATGGTCATCTTTCAATTTATAGTCCAAATCTGTGTAGCGTGTGTTCTTGCTCATTGTTCAACAGTTTACTCCAAATTTGGTAAACTAATTATATTTCAATAGCTAAAACAAGTAATTAAATTCCTGTGAATAAATTTTTAATGGCATTATATGCATCTCTTGATGCCTGAAATTCTTACGCATGTGAAAAAAATCCCCCATGAGTTCAGTAGAGATCGTCAATTTAATTGAAAACCTCGACTTTGAACGTCGTCGCGGCCCTTCGCTTTAATCGCGGTGGCCTCGTAATCGACGTTCGAGATTTAATTCCAATGTCAACTGATGCGAAGATCCGTTGATTTCATCAATGCATGCTCTCCCTGCATTGCGTTTCGTGCGTTACGTTTAGTCTCACTCTCATTACGTTTAGTCTCTCAGCGCGGTGCAGTCTCGCCGTGAATTGAACCACTTGATCCGTAAGTTAAGGCTACAGTACGTTGAGTTCACCAGCGCTCGTTGGCTTGCTTATCATGCGAATTCATTCCAACAAATATTGGATTATAAAGTTTGCCATAACCATAACCAGCCAAGATTAAAGTCATAATTACTTGCCATAACCAGGACGAGTCACAGTCATGGCCAAAACTTGCCATAACCATGACTTGGCGGATAGATTCAATTCATCCGGCATTGATTCACGTTTCAATTGTTATTCATTGGAGCCAATAATCTCTGCAAATTATATAATTATAATTTAAAACAATTAGATTATACATTGTTTGTTTGTTTATAATTGTTTAATTAACAATAAAATTATTTCATTTAATTATTAAAATCCTAGCATACTACTTATGATGGCTGACGAATAATAAAAATATAATCAGAATTAATGTCTGTATTAATATTATTAATAAATGTTAATATTAATTGAGATTTGCGATTCAAGCAAACAAATGATATTTATGCCTGAATAATTTTGCATTGTGATCCTGAATGAAATGTCTGCACAATTTTTACAGGCCCTGCCATGACCGCCCCCGGCCCCGCCGTCCACCAGTTCGCAGCCCCGTTGATGCTCAGGACCAACGCCATGCAACCATAGTCCATCACTTCAGAAATTAATTATTCATCATTCAGTTTCACAGTTTTGACTCCAATATTCATTATTATGTCAGGAATATCACTATTAAATTTGCGCACGAATGACTTTTGCAATTTCAATTTGTATTCCTGAGTCTAAATTTAATTGTTACATTCAATATATGATCATAAGCTTATAATCGTTGCGCCATTTTACTATTGGAAATAAAATCTACGTTATTTAACTTTTTAGTCACGTGTAGGCTTCTTCAATTACGTTTGAATTTTACGTGTAGGAAACAATTTTGTGTGTAAAACATGATTTCCATCGCACTGCATATATAACGCCGGGCAATATTGATGCGTGTCATCGCCGTGTAGTTGAAATAACACTAAAAGTTCATCGCCAATCAACATTCACTTCAAACTTAATAAGTTCTTGGGCTCAGCATGGAAGTGACGTTGCCAAAAGGCCTGGAGTTCCCGTCATGTGAGTATGAAAAACTTGACGTTGTTCTTTGATACAAAATGAAATGTTTTTTTTATTTGCTGGGTTTACAATTATCTGGAAATCAATGTCGATGATCGAATACATCGATTATACTTTAGTATTTATAGAGACCCCAATATTGTTACGTTGGTCTTAATTTGATAAATTGTAAGATTATGGGTAACTTAGGGAAAGCGATTACAAATATCAGAGAAGTTTGAAGTTTGGAAGTAGTTATTGAATGATGTTGGACTGCATATAGGATGATTGAGCCCTACAGCTACATATGACTCCACAAATGTTCAAATTTACTGTATGATTCGTATTAAAACTTATCTGCGGTGAGTTAGAAAAAAGCTCTCGCTTAAACCCAACAAAGCGGTAAAAAGATTCTTTCATTAATTTTCTTTTCCGCTATAAATATTGCAGGTTGCATATTGCATCGCTTACCCCGTTGGACTTTGATCCTCGAATTAAATCCTCAGTTTCATCGATGTATCTCTTTCGCAAGCGGAAAAAATGAGTTCAGTGAGGCGCATTAAGTTCGTTTATTGCCGTGAACTCACCTGCTTCTGTACGCGCTTACTCGTCTTATTCGGGAGTGTGGGCTGAAAACTTGTCAGTTGCACTGAAGGTTGGAAATGACATTTGGGAGTAAAGTCGCTTGTTGCGCGTCAATCGCCTGTCGCCTGTGATTTGCTGATTGAAAATTAATATTGAGTTAATTGCTACATTGTCTTGAATTCTTGAGCTGATTCCAATGTTTTAACAGATTTTCCCGTTTAATTTTTTATGCATTACTTTTATATCTTGCACAGTTCGATGTTCAATTTGATACCGACGTCATTTTCTATTCACTATTAATCTGAAACGCTCAATATTCCACTCTATTTTAATAGTTATTTTCTTTACCTAAACTTTCTACTTTGAATTAGGAAAGATCGAGATTGTTTTAATAACATCTGCTATATAACAGAATCAGCTCGCGTCAGACCAACTGCATCGCACAGGCGTCTTTAATTATGATCATAAAAACTATAAACAAACTTGGCCTGCAGTCTTGCTTGCCATTCAGTTTGGACGAGCGACTCGCGCCGCTTGACGTGCTTGTATTTTTGCCTCGACTCTACACACTTCTTTGTAGAATGTGCTTCTAGTTCGTGTGTAATTCTATTTCGTGTGTAATTGCACTTCTATTTCGTATGTAGCATATGATTATACTTCGTATGTACTTTTAATTCGTCTGTAATTATAATTCGAAGGTTAATAACTAGAAACTGGCTGGCCTGCAACTATTATCAAAAGTCATTCCTGGTTGATATTATACGAGTGAATTTTATTTGTAACTACGAAATTATAACATCGTAACTAAGAGTCTTACTAAACACAGATTGTTACTAAATTTCATAATTGAGATTATGTAAAATTAATTGACTGTGAGATGTAAATATTTTAATTACAATATTTAACAATATTGCAATGGTGAACCTTACGAATCAGCTTGAAGTTCATTAATGCCATATTAAATAAGGCACCAATGCACGAAAGTCATGCGCAGTGCCTGAGATAGGAAGAGGCTCCCAATATATTAAATGCCTTGCCAACGATGAGGTTATGACAGCGGAGCTATATTAATTTCTGTAGAGATTTCTTTGACGCATCCGTGTTCTCAAACAGCGAAGGATGTGTCACAAAATATGCACCGCTAAAAAAGTTAGCATTTATCTTACGGTGGAATAAAAAAAGTAAAGTTAATAGTAAAGTTTTTCGTTTCTTGCTTCATTAAAATTCACACAGAGAATAGAATTTAGAGATCAAATACAAAAGAAAATGAGTAGAATTTCAGTGAGGAAAGAAGTGTCAGGAATAAATATGTTCAGTTAAGGTGACCCTATAAAGTGTCTGAGTCTCGCTCGTAAAACTGCCGTGTGTAGAAATGCAAGGAGAATTTCAGGGCTAAATTATCCGACAAATGCAGTGTTTTGTTGCGGTCATCGTCGCGCTGCAGGTGCTAGACTGAATTATGCCGCGACACATTCAATCGGAAAAAAGAATATCGCACTAGATATTATTAATAAATGTTTTTGAACTAATATATTGGCAGAAATATCGTATCGGGTGCTCAGCATTCGTAACATAATTTTCAGTGCAATCTCTTAGTTTCAGAAAAAATTAATATAATGAATAAATTTTTTAGCAAAAATACTTAATTTCGTGTCTTCTGAAGCCGTTTTGACCTGGCCTGGTGATGGCTGAACTAGTAACGCTATGGTATCGTTAAGCCAGTTACGCCGTGCAGCCCTCACCGGCCTCGTTTACTGTGGCTTATAAACAGATCATGATAGACGGCTTGAGGAGAAGCAATTTGATGGAATTTGCTTGCCTCTGATTAGATTAACAATACACCATCGCAGTGCTATCAAACAATATCTATACAAGTACGTATTATATGCACAACGATGTTATACGAGATCCACACTCAGCGCAAATATAATGCGTGCTTCGAGTATTTGTCTTATGAGGCTTTTACAATGTCGCTGAATTTTAATATGTATGCAAATATTTCTTTTCATGATATAAGGAATTCTTTTGTCTCGTTGATCACTCATGTTGGAATTATCAGAGATTATTATACTAATTCATGAACAATTGTAATAATAATTCGCATATTAACTTCAATATAACCAGCATGATGTGATGCCGTGGGTGACATGAGTTCACTTCGCTGCACGTGTTCCAAATAAAGCCAAGGCCGTGAAGATGGCATTTCTCTGTCTGACAGTTGGTGATCGTTCGGTTAAATGGTTTCTTTATTGGCGGAGATGAAACAGTGCATGGCGTGAGTGACCTTAAATTATAAATAGTGTAGGCGATCCATGCTCTGATGATGCGTATCGAGCCAGTGGATGAAGCTGCCGTGATATCTTATCACTAATTTAAAATACGACCTAGAGTTGGACCTTCTTGGTCGGCAGGTTTTATTCAAAGTCTTTGGTCCATAATCGGAAATTTGTACTTGATGCGTCCAAATTGCTCGTGGTCCTTCTAATCGTGCGTCATCAGAATGCGGAAATACATATTCATGATGAGAGAAAATTTTCTTCTCAGTGTTTAATTTACCCATTTAGAAGTTGCCTATGATATTTGATAATTTTTACAATTTATTTATAGAGCAAAATTTTGCGAATTAACTCTTCACTTTACTTTACATGCAGTATTTAGGCTTGAATGTCATACATCTCTAAACGTTAAGCACAAAAAACTAATTAAAAAATATAGGTAAGTTCAATTTACTCATTCTCACCTAATCTTAAATTAGCTGCAAGTATTGCATCACATGCATGAGTCACGAGTCTCAACTTGTCACCGCCTGACTCGTGGCTGCGCTGCTATTGGCAAATCGAAAGTCAGTATAGGCAATTTATTCATTTTATGAGACGAAAAATTTCTAAAGTGGTTCATTAATTAATACGCTCGCTATTAATTACTTTATTAATTAATGTAATGGATAAAACATGCATTGATCAAATATATGAGACAAACACAAATAAAACTTCGTTCTTTAACCAGTCGATCGATGGAGTTGAACACGTAGAAAAGAGGTTAAAATCTAGATACTATTTTGTGAGTTTTGGACTACATATATACCAGCAATAAAATAATTACATAATCGAACTTAACAATAATAATGTTATTTAAGCTCAATCCGTGAAATTCTAACAGAAGTTACGGGCAAAGAAATTTGTGAATGATTGCTAGGTAAAATAAATGGCGAAGCTCGTGACCGTGAACTTCGCGGCAATTAAGCACGCAGACGCGACCGTACCTGACGTAAGTGGTGTCTTGTGCGTAGGTTTTTACCGTGCAGGCTATAGTCGTAAATTTCTCACCTACGTCTGGCATGTTGAGTCACCTACTCAGTTTTACTGTATTGGGAGCGAGCCAAATGCCTCGGATGGTGTGTACTTAGAGTGTGTCGTCGCGTGTGCGTGAAGGCGGTCTTTAGCGTTAAGTCTTAATATGCGAGATGCAGGTCAGGCTGATGTTAAAAAGCCTTGCATTGTTTTGTATGGGAGGTTCTTGTGGAACGTACAGGTCCTATGAGTCTTAAGCATGAGCTTTCTAATAGAATAATTTGGGGATATCAGCTTCAAATTATACTTCATATTTGGCTTGTCGCAGATTCTAAATATAACAGAATTTGTACAGCTAGTTGTGAATATCGAACCCGTAACTCGCTGCTACTATCTTAGAGATATTAACCACTTGGACAACCATCGCTGATTAAGAATAGACTGCACAAATTTTAGAAATTAAATTTGAATTTTCAATCGATCATAAAACAAACTATTTCATTTATACAAGCAAACAGCTTAGGAGATGGATTTCGAAAATTAGAAATTAGATTATGATCTTTAGTGTAGATAAGCGATGCCATAATTTATTGTGACTGATTTGGACTTCATCAATAACTTTTATGTTCGTGTGTTGCCCTTGCAGACGTTGACGACTTGAAGGAGATCCTGGACACGGTAGAGCCGCGGTTCACGCTCATTCCTGAGATGCGGGGTCACATCTCGCGCTTCGTGGACGGCGCTGACATGGACGAAGTCTACCCGCATATCTTCCTTGGGGACTGGTAAGAATCAAGTCCTAATCACTAATATTATTCATGCTCAATGTAGCGTAAAAAGACTGCTAAATTTTGGGGACAATAAATATTCTGTTGGTATACCCAATCGCTGTGCTCGATCGCTTCCTGATCCAGTCTACGAAAATTCGCTAGAAAAAGCCGGCGAGGTAGGCAGTACTTGAAACGCAGATAAAACTCCTGACATAATTTTTGCTATCATTTTGTTAAACTGTGATTGAATTACGTTAATTTTCTTCCTCACGTTAGCGTCAAGATAATTTTTAAGTTTAGTTAGTTCCAGTTTACCAGTCTTAATGTTGTATTATCTTTTTACTGTGAAAAAACTTAGCACTATGGCCGCAGTTAGCCTTGTTTTACTATATATTAGGCTGGAATTCTTGCTTCATCGCAATTGAAAAACGAAATTTTCAAAAAAAGTATTATGAGAAAAAAGTAATAAAATAGAATCTGTCCGGGATCAATAAGAGTTGCTATTCCGTGTACGGTGTACTATCCTTGTCTGCCTTGATTGCAACAACTTATCCACTCACACTGCCTAAATTTTTCTCAGTGTGCGATTTAGTGAAGTCCCTGCTGTAGAAAATCAACCGTTTTCTCCCAGAATAACAGAAGAAAATAGAATATTTTTTGTTAAACTATAGAATATTAGCAGCATCCATGTTTTATAGCCTCTATACTTTAAAAGCAATCATTTGATTCATAATAACTAGAATAGACTTTTTATTGCTTTGGTAAAAAAATCTCAACGTTTGAGTAAAAGAATATTAAAAAACTAGGGTAATGCACACGAAAATTTCATGTTTTTAAAGTTAGTTTGGAAATTGGTTATAAGTGCGCGTGACAGGCGATTAATCAAGTTACGTGACTTTACGTCTGTTACGGCACATTGCGTCGATAGGAACGAAGTTTCTCGATCTTGATCTGCGAAGCAAATATTAAAAGCTATGCATTTAGTTTCATCGATTATTGTGTCTATTCCTGTTTCTTACTAACCTTAAACGATCTTAACTCTACTCTCCGTCCAACTGAACCAAATATTATTTGGCCATTTTCAAAAAATCGTTTACGTATCTCGCGTATTACTAAAATGGTGTAAACATACGTTAATATATTGTACATTTCTGAGTACAAGAGGCATTTTTCCTACCGTTTCCTGGAATTATTCTTACTGTTTCTTACTTACCTCTTCTCTTGATCTGCAGCGACGCGGCAATGAACAAGCAGTACCTGCTGCGCAGCGGCGTCACTCACGTCCTCAACGCCGCCGCCAACCTCAAAATGGGCCCCGCGCCCGTCAAAACCGGCGACGAATTCTACAAAGTGAGTTGGAGGCGTGGACTTTAATTGAATTAATGACGTAACATTGAAGCCAGACTTGCTTGTAAGATGAGAGCCGTCAGAGGCCCGACTTCGGTCATAATTAATTTGTTAGCTGAAGTCAAATAACTGTTACGTCAGGCAAGTGGTTCCTGGTTGATTTCAGCGCAAGAAATACATTATTATGAGTGAGCTGTGGTCTGCCCACTTCTCAAATGTAGGCAGACATTAATGAATGGAAGGCTAGAGGGATAACATATGGGCAGACTAGAGGGTTAATGCTCCGCTGAGTGATTGTCAAGAACTTATTAATCCATCTGTTCATTGGAGCGGCTTTGCAATCGCTGTAATTTAGTTACCTAATAGTCTCCGAAATTTATTACATTCACTATACCTCTATCAATTGTTTTAAAAGACCCTAATGTAAATAAATAATTTAGTTCGCGTTATAATGGACATAAGCCAAGATTCTAAGACGGTAACAAAAACTCTACCCACTTCTTTATATAGTTGTTCAGAAGTTAAACAATCACACGATTTTAATATATGTTGGTCGTGGCGCGAATGAAATCCGTAAAGTTTGTCTGGAGACACAATTGGAATGCAAAATATTTTTTGCTTTATTGATATGTTCAATCAACCCGGTTGAAACTTAAATTCACGAAACTATCTTAATTTCCTACGAGAAAAAATCTCGTGCTGTCGGGGCCCATTCAATGAATAAATAATATATAAATAAAGCCGTCAGTGGCCACCAAACATTTACTTAAAACGTGTCTTAATAATTATTGCCATTAAGAAGGATGAATAAAACTGAATAAATGAACAAACAATAATAATTCAAACCACTTATCAATGAATACCAAACAAATAAATAAACAAAACAAAACCGTGCGCTTTCATTAGGCCGACTAACTATTTTCTCTAATGAACGGAGCCAGTTCTAATATCGGAGCCTTTCTGCACATACAAAACGAAAACACAAGAAATTAGAACTAATGAAATAAATAAACTAATACACGCAGAAATAACGCACGGATGACATATGATACATGAACAACTATAACTACAAATATGCACTAAAAGATCAATGAAAACTTCACTTAAACACCAGAACACTGTCAACACTGAAAATAAACACGACTAAAAGGACCACGTACCTCTGTGGTGGAATCGCACAAACGAATGACAAGATATAGTGGATTCCTACGCGAGGTCACGTCAGTGGTGACTAAAAACCTAAAAGAAAAATCACTAATCTAATATTTTCAATAACATCCATAATCTAATATTTACAATAACATACGTAATCTAATATTTACAATAACATACGTCCCCTTACAGTGCTATCAACACCGAATTTTCTAGAAATTCTTATCAAATTTTTCGAGGTTTTATGGTCTCAGATATGAAGAGGTGGCGAGTGTCATCCTAGGATCTCCCGGGAGGGTATAACCATTATGTTTACGTGACACAATGTTAGGCGGTGCTGTAGTTCTGCTCATGTTCTTGTGATGAAGAGAAAAGCTATAAATTCTTGCTGCCTGCCGTTGCGTATCCCCTCATCTAGATCCCTTGTTCAAGTGTTAGTGATTTTTCGCTGTTTTTATGGACCATTGAGCAACCATATAATTTATCTCTAGGTGCTCGCAATAATCTGAGAGTCTTCTGGTATGGTCTTCAGGGGATTTTTTTAATTCGTCGTATTATCTCAACTACAATTGCGAGTTATGTTAGATTTAGTGATTATTATGGCGAATTTCTCTAAAAGGGTTATTTGTTGAAAGAATTAATTAAAATTTTATGGTTACAGTGTAGCTCGTTATTGAAAATATAATTAAATTATAGTTTCAAATATTGAAAAGCTCGTTAAGGAAATTAAGTAGCTCGTGTTGCACTTCATTCTGTTGCATTATATCGTATTATACGATTTACGACAAATTACGATATACGATAAATGTTAATATACGATATAATATACGATAAATTGTCTTGCTTTTTCAAATTATTAAGATAGTTCGATGACTTCAATCACTGTTTGATGAATAATTTATAAACAGAAAAAGTCTGAGACAATTTACAATATTGTCGTCTACAACGTTTCGGCACCCTCAATACTAATACTTCACAAATACAAGTTTAAGAAATAGGAAAACTAAATTAACAAAGACTATTTTGAATCATAAATTGATCAGTAAAATTCAATATTACATTAAATCTTATTTATACGGATATTCCTCTTTTTATCTCCGACTCTTAGCAGTTCCTTTTTTTTAAACTTGTTTTATTTTGCCTTGTATCAGGCGCTGTCGATCGTTTCTTTGTACAAGTTGTGTTTAGGATACAATAATTGCCCAGAACTATCCTAAAAATTTGATTTTTTTTCATGAAAAGTCGACGAACAATTTTCCCAATACTTAACACTTAATTCGGTTGTTTTCATTTCCGAAGATACGATGTATATTTTCTCAGCGATGTTTTTTCTCAACCAATCGTACCTCTTGAATTTCACCTGCCGCGGACTGAACCAGGACACGCCCTTGATTTACAAGGGATTGGACCTCATCGATTTACCCTTCGCAAACGCCGCTAAACACTTCGAGGCCGCCGCAGAATTTATTGATGGAGCCCTCAACAGCGGAGGTTAGTTGGGGGGAAGGGGCCTGGCGATGACGAAGGGCGCAACAGCTGGTGATGTGGGTGAAGAGATAAGACGGTTAGATGAAGGGGGGGTTAGTCATCTAATGTGAATGAGAGGCTAAGGACATGTGGAGGGCTTGATGTAGCGGGTCTCCAACAATTGATGTGATATAATTTGGCCGAAAGAGAAGGTGGCGGTTAAATACAGGAGTTCTATATATACATATTGAGTCGATTACGGCTAGGATTGAGACGTCAGCTAAGACTGATATGATGGAGTTCATTAACTTCGGATGGGAATTTCCAAGTTACGCGGAGTAGTTGGAGGGTTTGGTTATGATCACTTCAATAGAGGACGTGTGGGGATCTTGTGAAGATGTTGGGTTGGAAAGGCCGCTGTTGTTGGCCGCTCAAGAGGTGCAGGTGTCATCTTCGTGGGACGCTTACAAATGAATCTACTGCGATCGTCATAGATTGCACGAAAAAGGACGGTAATTCAGAGCTTTGTGTTAAGTACTCGTGTAGTCGTAAGTTCTATTGTCATCTGCAATTTTGCAAAATTTCTTATCGAATTTTCCATTTTTTACTTAAATTTTGATTTTCTTTTGCATTCCCGCTTTGTAATGTTCGATTACCAAGATATCTAAAACCTGGTCATCGTCGCCTAAACTGCCAGCGATCTAAAAAATTTGGAATCATCTAGCAGCAGTCACCTCGTAATTAAACAAGCAGCTACGATCACTGCAACGAACACCTTCGAACTTTATGTTAACGTAGCGTGTAGCTTTTTGTTTGCAGGTGCTAGATGACATTGATGTGATAAAGCAGAAGATAAACTCCAGCGAGTGTCATAGAGAACTTCCCGACATCAATGAGGGACGGATAGAGATCTTCGTTTTACCCTGCATTCGGAATTGTCATACTCATTATATGGGCACGATGAAAATAATTGAAAATTGACTAATTCTAGATTATTAATTAATGAAGAATATTTTTTTCTTGTTGGCTAATGCCTGAAACATTTCGACAAATTCAGAACGAACCAATATATAAGAGCCTAGCCTTAAAGAATAGCGATCGTTTGCTTTTTATATCAATAATAATTTTATGAGCCCTAAACTAAATAATATGTTGAATAATGTGAGTAATTGCAAAAATTTCGTTACTATTAAGGGTGATGCTCAGCTGTTATAAACGTTAACATCATCACTCATATCACGAGCACGTGACCATGAAGCGAGGCTCCATATTCACGGCAGGGACGGTGCTGGTGCACTGCCGTCAGGGCAGGTCGCGCTCGGCCTCGGTGCTCGCCGCCTTCCTCATGACGCGGCGCGGCTACACCGCCGCAAGGGCGCTGCGACAACTCAAGCAGAGTGGGTGCTGCTTCGGTGGGGTGTACCTGATGGGGTGCTGGGGGGAGGTTAATTAACCTGATGGGGTGATGGGGGGAGGGTAATTAACCTAATGGGAGTGATGGGCGGGGAGGTGATGACTCTGATGAGAGTGATGTGCTGGGGGAGGGGGGTGGTGTGCCTTGTGGAGGTGCTGGCCTGAGGTAGTGGTGAGCCTGGTGTGGGTCCTAGGCAGCAAAGTAGAGTGCCTGATAGGGGTGTTGTCTGGGAGGTGGTGTGCCTGATTGGGGTTATGAGCGCTCTGGGGAGTGTGAGCTTTGATTGGAGAGTGGAGGACGTTTGTCCTGGTAGGTTAGATGAGCTTGGCTGGGGTGAGCTCTGCTGGAATGGTATGAGCCATGACACTCTATTGTGCCGGAGAGGTGATGAGTCTGGTTGGGGGTGGGGGTGATGAGTCTGGTTGGGGGTGGGGGTGATGAGTCTGGTGAATGTGGTTAACATTGGGCATGATCATGGTGTTGGTGCTCACTTTCGTGTGTGTGACAATGTTTTCGGTGGCCATTATCATCGATCAATAATATTAGAGTCAACCTTACTGTTTACTATTCTCTAATTTATGTTACTCACAGAATCACAAATAAATTATGATTTAATATTTGATAAACAAACTGTTTTTGCTACTGTCAGAAGTCACGTCAGTAGTCTGTGACATAGCGCGCAAAGCTATCTCAGTTGTAGTTTCTCTCAGATTTGTTGTCATGGGTATAGTGGCAGCTTCAGTAATCGGAAAAAAACCACAGTTACTTTATTGCACATCATTTGCATAAAGGACTTTCATCATACAAGAGGAACTTAGTATATATTCTATTTCATGGACTTGGTAAACAGGCATTCAACAACCATCCGCTCAGTGAGATGCGTTTAACAAGACACGTGACATTGCCTTCGAGTCTACGTTCGTATTTCACTTTCCTTCCCGCAATCTCTGACCACGGTTCCATCAATCTCATTCTTACAATTCTAATTATCATTAATAATAAATCTAAAACACATATATTTAGTAATTTAGCCTAATATTAGAAGACAGAACTGTCATTTAAACCAAAACCTTCATATTGTCATTAAATATATTCAGGAAAATTTAGAAATAACTTAGACTTTTTATTCAAATCTCGCCAATCTGAAATAATGATTGGATCTCTATCAGGATCTTCACCTGACATGAGTAACCTATGAGACCTACAATAACTGTGTGGTTACACAAATAGCAATCAACCCTAGCGGGGCGCTAAGTTTGGTACTCTGCTCTTCAATGGTGAAAGAGATTAGGCTGGCTGGTGCTCCTGACACCACAAGTCTTCAACCGAAATATGAAAAAATAATTGAATTTGCTCTAATCTTTATTCCGAAAATGCTTCATATCAAAAACTGATTAATGGAAATATATTGTGTTTCAGGTCGGGACATCCGCCCCAACAACGGTTTTCTCGCTCAATTGGCTGCTCTGGACTTGCAACTTTTTCGGGAACGCCTGGAAAGAATTCGCTTGGAGCCTTCATCCTCGTCTTCCTCTGAGTCGGATTCAGAGTCAAACTCGGTATCCAAAACGGCAACTCTGAAACAAAAATCCTCTTCTCCTGAACTTGAAATGACAACAAAGAGTCCAAAGCCGCAGAGTAAAACTCGACAATCTTCTACTGAATCTGACAAATCGCAAATTTGTTCGGATGAGAGCAAGAAAAATGACACGAAAGAAGATTCTCCCAAGTCGAGTGACAACGACAGCATCGAGTATCACTCGGCTGTGAGTTCGGTCTGTAGTACTTCAATATCGAATGCGTTCGAGAACGCCAACCCGCGTTCCGTTTCAATAACAGTCCATGTTTCTTTGAAGCGCAGGCAGAGTCCCAACAATGAGACCGAGCAATACGTATCGCAGTGCGTCAGGGTGCAGAGCGTCGAGTCGCTCGAGTCCGACAATGATGCTGACGACGAGAGCTCCGACAGCGAAAGCTAGAGGCGTTCTAGACGAGTATTGATTTATTTCCTCAAATTGATCGCGCTAAAAAAGAAGTGCAATTTTCATCGTACGGGTGATGGGCAGATCGCAAATTACAGACATTTTTTTATTCCGTAAGCTCTGAAATGTTTTTATTATTCATTTTTGCTCTGTACGTTAAAATAGTAAAAATAATTATAGAAACGCTATAAAAACTTTATCTAATTATATTATTGAGTATGGCTTTTGAAATTATTATAAAATCTTTATCTTACTTAACATTGTTGAATGAATAGCGAATATTCAACTAGGTTTTGAGATCTCACAATAAAAGATTAGGAATGATAAAAGGCATAAATGATAAAGTGCAGTAAATGTTCTAAATTAAGGTTAAGTATGACTCAGTGTTCATCAACAACGAAGATTAGCTAGGCAAATATGCCTGAGACGTTATTGCGATATTTTAACAGCATGTTTAAGAATTTATTCATGTGAAATCGGTTGCATGTAATAAATTGCGCAAACAGAAATGGTCAATAAATCGCAAAAGGTTTGATAGTGAATGTGCCTTTATTTTTAAGGCCTGAACATATTGTTATCCCAATTTAGGTAATAAAACTTCCGCCCAAATGTGTGGCCCAACATTCTTCATTTAAAAAAGTTTAAAAATATTTTTCCTTTACCTTAATCAGCGTTCTGAGTTTCCTACGTTTAACCTCTGTAAGTTACTTGATTCAATTAAATTGCATTTTAGTTCAATTATGATTTGATTTCTGCAGTCCTATGAGCAGAGCTTTTTTTGTACTAGAGGATGAATTACTCTTCCTGATGTCCCTAATTCATAGCTATGAAGTAAAAAGGTCCAACAGTATTTCAGGTCGCTAGAATTAAAATTAATTAGTTAAAAATTGATTACAAATTGAATTAATCAATAATTAATTGATCAATTAATTAAGTGCGTGATATAAAATAATTTTGGTCTCCAAGAAGATAGTAGCATGAGCTGGAATATTTTTCTAAATGTTAATAGTGATGATAATATTATAATTAAATTCAGTTATCAATATATTTATCATAAATATAATATCTGTGAAAATGTTCAGCGGTGGAAGCTCTTACAATGCAATTTTATTTTTAATTTAAATTTTTGCGAGTTTTGCTGTGTTCCTTTGGCCTGCTTCTTTTCTTATCGAACGCTGCCATTATTTCAATAAAGTACAAATCTCCAACTTGCCAAGATCTGGGCAGCATTTTATTGCCGTGCACTTTCGTATCAACATCTGACCTCGCATTTTATAGACAATACATCATATAGCAAATTTATATCAATTGACGCTTTTGATCAGATCTTAAATGAAAATTCTCATAAATCTAGAGTTAGGGAACTGATTGGACCTGAATTTATATTGCTTCGTGAACTGCAGGCGGGAACATTTCCTGTCTCAAATTGAAAATAAATTGATTTCTGTGGAGGGTTCATGAGCGAAGACTATTATTTCCTTGAAATTGAGAAATTATATTGCTGAGTAATGGTTGCGTATTATTGAAAATATTCAAGAAAATTATTATGTATTAACAGCGCGGATCGGAATCCCAAACAACAAATTCTATTAAAATGCTGCACCAGCAAGTACGAGTATGCAGGGCGATTGACGGAAACTTCCTGATTTGAAAGCTCAATAAAAAAGAACTATTGAAGAAATCATTACACTATAAATTTTATTAAAAAATGAATTAATTTAAATTTGGGCATCACTTATTTTTAAAGATGACATCGTACAAATGACGGTACCCATTGTCAATGCATTCAGTTAGCCGATTTTTGAAGTTCCGTTTAACTCGTTGAAGCATATTGACGAGTATGTTAGCTATGGCTTGGCGTATGTTGTTCTTCAACTGAGATAGGGTCCTTGGGCAGTCAATGTAAACATTCGATTTAAGATGAACACATTAAAAATCACACGGAGCTAAATCGGAGGATCGGGTCGGCCAAAGAAGGTCACCTCACAAGAAGATGAGGCGCTCTGCAAAATGTTGTCTAAGGCGGAGACAACTCTCAGATGAAGACAACGCTGCTCACTGTGTCCAATGCATAGTGGCAACTAACTAGGCGGGACACAAAACTTCAAGACCTCACCTTTCATATGAAATACTTCCCGCTCTTTTCACGAAAAATCTGGCTGCTTTGCGAGAAGTACAAAACAGAAAGTTTTCGTGTCTCACCCTCTATAAGGGGGAAGTTAATAAAATACTGAGCCTTTTCACCGTAGACTTAGGTCAATTTTCTCCAAATTAAACCCAGACGCAATCGAACATTCGCAAGCATGGCTACATTCGTTTAGTTATCTTCGGTACTTTTGAGGCCTTCATGATTTAAGGAGTCCTCGATGCACAAGGAACTTGACGACTAAATTATTTATGTTTTCTGGGTTAATTTACAAAGGTTGATGAGCATTATTGACATTAACATCATTAGGTTATGGTGAAGTCACTTGATCCTGGAGCAACGCTGAGATCTGGAACGCAGTATTAATGCTCGTATGCAAGTTGACCAGAAAATAATTTCTTTGTGTGATGTGACTTACGGTGGCGGGCTCGTATATTAAAGTATTTACTTTACATTTATATCCTTAAAGTAATGTGCCGATTTAAGGTCGTATTTTTATAACAATTGAACTTCAATTGGAAACCTTTTCTTGTAGTCTTGCATTTCTAGTCTAGTATAGTATTTTTTCTAGTCTAGTATTTAAATTCAACATCTAATTCGGGTGGCATTAATTGTAAATCCCATTTAATAATACCATATTGACAGATTGTTTTGACAACACGTGGAGTGTTAATAAAATAATGTCAAACCAAATTGCGGTTTAGAATCGACATACGAGTGACCGAAAACACATGAAACAATCAACTAGGAAATTAATTTCAAAAAGTATTGTTGAGACATATTTAGCAGCAGGGGATGTCTCAGTATAATAAGAACGGCACAATATATCGTGTGCATACAGAAAGCGAAAGTTCATGCTCAGCTTCCACCAAAGCTCAGCTTCAAATGATTGCTATCAATCGTTGAGCTGAAATGCCCTCAAAAGAATTTTCAGGATCATCGAAGATTTAGCAGATTCCCCAGATCGGAATATCATGCAGTTGATGCAGGATCAGTTTACAGAGATGGCGCTGTACTTTAGCATGCAGGAATCCAACGCATCTTGCGAGGAAAAAACTTCGTTAAATAAAAATTTGGAATTTCTGAGTGAGGATAGTGAGGCAAAAATTTAAGCTCTTGATATTTTTTTGTGATACAAACACAGAAAGTGATATCAGTGATTAGATTCTGAAGTTTATTCTCAGATTGGGCTAAACAGGAATAAACAATATAATGAGTGACAAAGTGTGTTAATGATGAGGCTAAGAAGTAATAATTGACTTTGTCTAGTAAAATTGCAGTTATTCAAAATTATTAAAAACATTTTATAGAATTTTAAAAAGTGCATCATGACTTCATCATAACTTAGCAGTTACCCGTTCTTTGCTGAACTTCATTCTGCTCTAATTCTATGTCAGAATACATATTTGGTGGTTGACATTTATGTTAAAAAGTAAGGAATCCTATGTCATCGATTGTTTTATAGTTTAAGTACTTCGATTTATTAGGTCGTGAAGCGATTCTTCATTGAATCCATACCTATATTTATAAGGAAATAACACATTTTATTAACAAAAAAGGATTGAATAAAATTCGAACCTATTCCTTGACCGAAATTGTCCCATTGCATAGTTTCCGTTATTATAGTTGTTAGTATGGTAAAATATTTAGAAGGACCAGTCTTTTTTGTGTCACTTCAATTCCCTTTAGAATAAAAATTTTTTATGCGTTAATATTCCATGATTGTAATCAATTGTCCTAAAATGAATCAAGCAGCAGATGACATGCAAGATTACAACAATCCATATCATCCCCCTAACTTGTTGTGATAAAATCAACATGAATAAGGACTTTCATAGATACTTCACATTCATTTTGTAATTTTTAAACAATTGAAGCTTTAGAATTTTTTATTCAACGTAAATTGTTAAGCAACAATCTATATGTGAAGAAAAAGTTATATAATGAATTACCAAAAAAATCAAGCCAGTATAATAGCAATGAACGAAATTTAATTTTTTTGTCGTTCGTTTAGGTGGTGTATGCCATGGTCCTTGATCCAAGGCTGGCTAATCCTCTTCATATCCTACGGAGAATCTTTTTGCCACTATTTGTCGATGCTAATCTCCAGGCCGCGATCATCGCGAGCGTCCGACTAGCTATTCAATTTTAGATCCGTAATAATTATTGAAGCATCTCATTCGGGGACTATTATTTCTGATATGTACTTGTGTCAAATTGCTAGTTCACTAAATATTTAGAATTAAATAAAACGCTAAAAACATTCGATATATCTTTATTGAAAATCTTTTTCTGATCATCGCAGTCAATCTGTTCAAAAATTAGACAATTAGACAATACAAGTAATGGAGAAAATTAGAATTTTAATTCTGATTTTTATTCACACAAACTGTTCCTGAAAGAATAAAAAACTAAGTAACGAAAACAATAGACAACGGAACATAAAATTTATCAATTGACAATTTCAGAAGGAAGGCAAGGTTTCTGTTTGAAAATATGTTGCGATTCAAAAATCCTTAAAGCCGAAACATCAGATGTATTTTGGATCAAGTTCCGACTCAGGCACGTCGCGCTGCTCAGCATGAAGGCCGAAAGCAGAATGAGACGGAAATGAGAGTGGCAGATTCAAACGATACAGCTTCTACTGTTGTGTTCAACCGCCAGGATGTAGAAGTTACGCTATGTTCTTCTGACGTACGCTGATGCGCACCGTGCACAACTATGTTCACAAACCAAAGAAGACCGAATCCGGGCAGACACACCAGCCATAGGTATACTTGAAAAACGAGCCTTCTTAGAAATTAATCACGCGTAAAATATGCAAGTTAGAGTTCGGAAATATTTTCCTTAATAAGATTTTCTATTCACTAGACCTCTCAGATGAGCTATCAAAGTAGGGGAAAGTACAATGAATAGTTTCATGCTATCAACTCCAACAACAGGTTTTCCTTATTTTTTAAATTAACACAAGGTTAAACTTAAACCATTGTGATAAAATAATG